ACCCCCACCATCACCACCACTATTCCTCTACTGCTGTTATTATTATTATTTATAGGAAAGAGGGTATTATTGTCAACCTTAATCTGGTCTTTTTTTTTTTTTTTGTATTTTCGTAATTGGTTGGGTGAGAGTGTGCCCAGGCCTACGTTAATCACTGGGTGGGCATAGAGCCTAGTTTCCTACAGGGATTTCTCCCATTGTCATTTCCTGAGACATGTGAGACATCACCCACATGACATACAAAATAAATTTAAATTGAACAATGAGAGAGATGTGATTCATCCTTTTATGCTTTCTTTTGGGTTTCATTCCCAGAACTAGAGCAAACCTAAGAAGAGAAGTGGATTTTTGAGTTCCAGACATGCTTCTTCTAAATCCTCCACTTAGAGCTAGCATCTCCCCCTGACCTTGAAAAGGCGAATAGATCCACATCACTGAGATTAAATAAGGCACCCCAGAAGAATGATTACAGGGGGAGCAAGTAAGTGAAATCTCCTCTGGTGTCAAGTGTAACCAGTCTGAATGAATCAAACCATGTTTCTAGTCCGTGATCAGCTTCAAACTTTCAAAGCTCCTGCTCAGTTATGCCACCTCACTGTATCCTTGGCTGGTACTCATATTGCCTTATTATTGCTGCTTTTAAAAAATAATATGCATCTTTGGATTCACTGCCCAACTATCTCAGCCAGAACCTCCCCTGTAGATTTTTAGAAGACAAATGTAGTCATTGCCTCTCTGTCCATTCAACATGGGTAGTCAGGAGAGGAATAAAATATAGACATGGCTCATCAGAGGGCAGCCTTGGCTGCACTTCTATGCCACAAACCTTGTCACCTCATAACATGGACAATAGTCACTAATGAGAACATTTGAATTCATCCCCAAAATGGTATTGCCTCCATACCACATAAATTAGAGCCATTTGTGGCTTTTTTGCTTTCCTTTTCTCTTGTGTGTGTTCAGATTAGATTCCCATATTATTTTCTCTTACTCTAAGATTTACATTAGATTATTCTAACAAGATTATCAAATTCTTTGAAACTCTCTGTAGCTCTATATCTAGCAGAGTGCCTGGAAGTCAGTAATTATTTATCGTATGAATGAATATTTTTTGAACACTTGTGGGCAATCAAGAAATAATTGTATTCCTAAAACAGTGTTGAAACAAGAATTTTAGGGGAATATAGGCAGGCTTAGGGGATTTTTAGAATTGGGGTCCATGGAAAAAAACACACAGGGCTACAGACTGGAAGAAGGTATATCTCCATAACACAAGGAAGCCAGGTGCAGTTGCATTTCCATAAGACAAGGGAGCAGCAACAGGTATATTTCCATAAGACAAGGGAACTGGAAGTAGCCAAAAAAGTCTATATTTACAAAATAAAGAAGAAGGAAGAAAGCCCAGAAGGAACAGGAGGACAATGAGGGAGGAGGGCCTCAGGAGTTACTATAGTAACCAATTCGAAAGGGAATATTGACCAATCAGAGGGGATATCAGAACACAGAAACTGCAGCCTTTATAAACCGTGGAAACAGGACCTTTCCCCCTCCCCACGTGGGAGTCTGTACTTGTTCTTTAATAAATCTCCACCTTTGCTATACTACCCTCTGTCCATGGATTCATTCTTCGACTCCGGCGGACAAAGAATCCTGGTTCCAGTCCAAAAATTCTGTTTCAATGTGAAGACACAATGTTTAATTGAATTGTTGGGAATGCTTTCTACCAACAGCATTTTATTATTTTAAATTTTATTTGGGGGAGGGCTGCCTGTTATAAAATTTTTTCTTGTGAAAAGAGGAGATTGGAACCCAATCAGTAGATTGTATTTGGTGAGTCAGTTGAGAGTTTGAGTATCTTCCCATGGGTTGTAGTTTCCCCTGGAACTTATGGGCATTTCTGATTGAAGACATGGCTGGAAGCTGTCATGGTTGAAGAGTTAGAGAAAGGCAGCATTCTATGCTCCTTGTGACTTATCATACCCTTATTACTGTCCTCCTTTGTTAGGCTTTTGTTGAGGAACCTAGTGGAGAGTAACTTGGCTATAAATATGCAACACAATTACATCACTAAATACTATCTTTTAGTATTGTTTTAACTCAAAATACCTGCTTTTCTGGCAAATGTAATCCAAACGTGTCTTGCTTTAAAGATCACACAGGGAAAAGGAAACAGTCTGGGTTTCCTGCCCCAGATGGTTACAACAAAACCAGAAACACTGCATAACAGGGAGGGGGTTGGGAGCAGAAGTAAGGGCACCATTATTCTTTGTCTCTTCTCTTCCCTGGGGGAAATATTGGCACCCAGATATTCAACAGTAGGAAGACATTTGGAAAGCGGCCTAGCCAAAGGATCTGTGGTAATCAGGAGTCATAAATCAGATAGGAGAGGGAGAGACCATATGGTGGGGGAAGAAAGTGACGATGCAATTCTTTCAACTGTAGCTGTTCAAATGTGCTCTCTTACCCAGCAGAGTAAGGAGCCCCGTCTCACCCTTTCCTACTCCTCCACTGAACCTTCGGGAATGTCAGACAAAATACCTTGCTCTTTTCTAAACAGTTCTGAACTAGCCAGATGTCAGTGACCTGGAGGGGATTCGGGTGAGAGCCAGAGAAATGATTAAACAGCTGGGGATGCCAGTGACCCAGTGGGCGTTTCCTCTCTGCACCTCTAGAACTGACTTATGAGAAGACAGTCAAATAACTAGATATGTGTTTTTTGGCCCAGGGCAGACAAGAAGTATGGGCTAACTTGTCTCCAATTGTGTTGCCAACAGCCAATAAATTGTGTCTTTTCTTCTCCAAATGGACTGTCAGTATATATATATTTTTAAGTTTTATTGAAAATAGTTACCTGGAATTTATTTGCACTCATTTCCCAGAGAGCCTGAGTAATCGCAGACTCCGGTTGCTGCAGGCCCCTGTGAGTCTCCACTGCTCCACACAAGTCCGGGGAAATTGCCTCTGTAGACAGAGATGGACCTCCCATTTTCCCCCAACTTGTCTGGAGATCAAGAGGGTGAGACTGAAACCTCTTTCACTGGAGACACGTCACCTCCCATGCCTATTTCTGGCTTCCCTTTTAGGTGTATGAGCAAAATCATTTTATTAAACCATTTGTCAAGGGGCAGATGGGAAATCTGTCTTTTCCATTAGTCACCAGAAAGTGACCCGGGCAGCAGTGGAGGGAATTGGTCAAGCTGTTGCAACCATCCAGACCAGAGTGGGGAAAGAGACAGTGCTTTGCTCAGTCGTCACAAGGTCCCAGGCAGCTCCCCAGGAGACCTTTAGCCAACAAGGCCCTGTTTTTACTGGCTGCCCCTCTGTTAGTCTGAGATCTTTTACACCGAGATTCAGAGCCAGTAAGAGCTGTGGAGCTGTGTGTCCGGCCAGGGAGGGGAGACAGCTAGCATTGGAAAGCTTTAGTGCCTTGCCCTTGACACTCCATATCCATGTTTAATTAATTTCCTAACAGTGTGGGGGAAAAGATGAAATACATAAAGCCAACTGACCACTCCATAATTTGTTTCTGAAGTTTGGCTGGACATAAAAGTCTACCTTCCCACGCCACACAACATCATTTATTTTATGGTTCCCTCTCGGCATCAGGTCCAGGCTAACCTTGAGTTTGGAGGCTGTTCTTTGCTTCCTGGTGCTGGTGGTCACAGTGTGTCCTTTCTTGGCAGTGGCCGTGGGCCCAGCAAAACAGATTTCTGAAAGGCGAGTGGATTAATCATTTTGAAGGCATGCTCGCCTCAATAGTCCCCTGCAGGATGTCTGAGAACCAGAGGAGACTCTCATAGTTTACAAGTGGCCAAGGGAGCTGTCTGAAGACATAAAGAGAAGGGGAGAGAGAGAGAGAGAGAGAGAAAGGAAGGAAGGAAGGAAGGAAGGAAGGAAGGAAGGAAGGAAGGAAGGAAGGAAGGAAGGGAGGGAGGAAGGAAAGAAGGAAGGAAGGAAAGAAAGGGAGAAAGAAAGAAAGAAAGAAAGAAAGAAAGAAAGAAAGAAAGAAAGAAAGAAAGAAAGAAAGAAAGAAAGAGAGAAAAAGAAAGGAAGAAAGGAAGGAAGAAAGGAAGGAAGAAAGGGAGAGAAAAGAAAGAAAGAAAATAAAGGCTTTTAAATGGTACATGCTGGAGTTTTCACTAAACCAAAAAGTATTACAAAAAAGTATATCACTTGCTCCTATAGCAGAAACTGTGATGAGTCCAACCTTTTTATTACAATCAGGTTTTCTCTAAATATATTATGCCCTGCAGGTCAAAATGATTTACTTCTCTATTTTGGGACATCTGAGTTCTATTCTACCGTTGCCAGTATGTTTTCAGCTGTGCCAAAACTGAGCAGGTCTGCGATTCCTTTGTAACATCAAAACGGAGACATTTATCATTGAGATTTATCATGGGACAGCCTGCCAGATGGTTTGGGTATTTTAAAGGTGAACTGTTTGGGCCTTGGTTAGCTCATGCAGACTTCTAGTTAAAACAACTCTATCAGCTGCTCTGTGCAAAGACACTGGCTTCCCCTCCACCCAACCCCCTCCCTCTGTTCTTCTAGTAATGCAGAAAATATTAATGTAATGGCAGATGTGGCATGGATTGTCATTTCAGGAAGAAAACCAAGCCATAACCAATTCCACTGATTGCATTCTAATTATAATGTGACCTCCTGTTGCTTTGCATAGAGGCAGTATTCATTTCAGTACACCACTGTAAAACTTGCCGAGTCAACGACCCTCAAAGGGGCAATTGTAAGATTTAAGCTTGGAATTTTTTGCTCATACCAAAGACCTTTATTCTGCCAAGCCTCTGCTGATTGGGCCAGAAAGAATGCATTTGATTATATAGACTAAACTTATTGAGAACAGAACCTTTGTGCTTTGAAATGCTTTTCATTCAAATTACATTCAGACATTCAATCAACATTGATTATGATATGGATTGGCAATGGGGAATGCCTTGAGTTTTGGTCTGGCTTGAAAGTTAGCTCAGTCCCACACTAGATAACTACAACTGGGAAGCCAGCTGAGTTTCCTTAACTTTCCCACAAGGGGAAGGTTTCTCTGGAGAGAGCACAGTTTTCTTATTCCCATCTGATTCAGCATCCAAGATAATTCCTTTACTTAGAGACCTGGGGTCTTTCAGCCTTCCACATTTAATTAATCTCTGAGAATCATGGGGTATGAGAGCACATTTGTGTTTGTGCTACATAAAGTGGGTACTTGCCCTTGCACATGAAAAGCAAGGAGAATCCATCTTAGACTCAGATTCTATGTCAGGGGTTTTGTATTGTGGAAGGAAGCAAGCACTGAGTGAGGATTTGGAAGCAAATATTCTATCTAGTCATGACTGCTGCCTTTGTGGTTAGGACAAGCCTCAGTTTTCTCATCTGCAGAATGAAATAATAATAGGTGGGTGGATGAATAACGTAGAGTGATTTTAAAATACTGAAAGCAATATAACATTAAATTATTTTTGTTATTTACAAGCTAGTGTACATATGTGTGTTTGTTGGGAGGCTTTGTCTGCAGCTAGACCCTTATCTCTGGAAAAATCTTTGCAAGACCAGTGTTCCAACTAGTTGGCTCTTTGCAGAACTACATACTTTGCAGAACTACACAGACGTACTCAAGTTTTTCTTTTGACTTAAAGGTTCCTTCTGGCCCTTCCAGATTCCAGCCTAGCAGTGAGGCTGGAATTTGCACAAGAGGAGGGAAGTTGCGAGGGCTTCCTCATTCCAAGTTGGTGAAATAGCTTGAGATAGTTTCATCTCTTCGTCCAATTGCGTATTTTCAGTTGTTACCTGTGTGACATACAGACAAATAGACTTCCAGCCTTAATAGCATTCCTGAAATTCAGCATTTCCAAGGAAATGGTCACCTTGGATGGTATTCTGGAATCTCAAATTCAGTACTTTCTCTTCTTCCCCCCAAGATACCTGTAACCAGTCTCTCCTCCTCTATTCTCTCTTTCTCTTAGCTACTTCTTTAATTCCAAGCACTTGAGTTCAAAATCTTGGAATCTCCTTTTACATTCTCTCTCCCCTTTACCACACACATAGAACTCATTGCTAAGGCCTATGTGCTGTGAATTCTACCACTGAGAATGCCTTTGGAAATACCCATTCTCCCTAAAGTTACTCTTTCCTTTTTGGATCTAATTATTTCCCCCTTGACCTATGTAATAGCTTCTTTGCTAGTTTCTCCACCTTTGGTCTCTACACCAATTCATTCTTTCCTACCCAAGTCTGGTAGGCCACTTCTAAGATGGCCCTCATGCTACCCCTATTTCTTGGTATTTATACCCTTTTGAAATCCACTCCCTTTGTGTATGGGCAGGGCCTGTGATTTGCTTGTAACCAATAGATTGTGAAAAGTTGATGGGATGTCACTTCCTTGACTAAGATACATAAGACTGTGACTTCTGCCTTCTTAGAAGATTCTCTCCCTGCCTGCCTTGATGAAGTAAGGTCCCACACGGCAAGCAGCTGAGCATGGTCTGTGGGCAACAATGAGGAGTTATGGCCCTTCATACACAGGAACTGAATCTTGCCAACAACCATGTGGCTTGGAAGCTTTGCCAGTCAAGCCTCAGATGACACCCCAGCCTGGCTCATACTTTGATAGCAGCCTTGTGAGATACCTAAAGCAGAGACGAGGACCCAGTGACACTACTAGTATACTCAGGTTTCTGACCCACAGAAACTGAGGCAATAAATATGTATTGTTTTAAGCTGCCAAGATTGTGGTAATTTTTTATGCAGTCATCGATACCTAATATACTGGGATGGCCAAATTATTGACTCAAAAATACTAATTACATTGAAGATTCTCTGTAGTTGGCCTTGAACTATCTACCCAAATGGCTTTCCAGCTCCTTTTCCTGAGCACAATTACCCTTACTGTATGTAATTCTGGCTTTCTGCTTTTTACTTTTTGCTGACATTGTTACCCTTTCCTGGGTTATCTTTATGACTAAATCCCATACCTTTTTAAGGCCCACTTAAATGCCACCACCTTCATAAAACCTTTTGTGACCCCTGCCGCTACATAGATCTCTGAGCTGCCTTTGTTTTGTACTATAAGTCACTTTTCTTTTTTTGTACCTCCTAGAGGAGTTGTTGGAGGGCATTGTCATAGCTCTACTGGATTACAGACTTTATAAAGAAGGAGGCTACTCTTGGTTTATCTTAACATACCATCAGAGGAACCCATATAATGACTCATGGGTCAACAGGTCCAGGGGTCCCCAAAGGTGTGGACGGAGTCGGCGAAGAAGGAATGACACGAAGACAGCCTTCAGTTGATCAGCAGCCTAGCCAGGATCTCTAGCCAGGATCTCCAGCCAAGTTTAACTAAAAGTAGGCTATATATTTATCATTTATAGTCACCCTATGGTCAATTGCAGCAGCCCAATAATATAACCTTAATGCTGATTCTCTCATTCATCCTAGTATCTTCTAGTTTTAAGTCTTTTGCCAGTTACATATTCATGTAATTTTTCTCTCTTCAGCAAAAGTTGCCGATTAAAATTTGAACCCAATCAGATATTGGGTAAAAGTCGGTGCAACACTGGGAAAAACTTTCTCCATGTCAGCATTTTTCTGGAAAAGTACTTTCTAAAGAAAGAATAGGTAGCTGGCCAAATATGTTGGTAAATATAACATCCTATGTCTCTTATAGTCACAATGCATATTAGGTATCTCAGAAAACTCTGATAATTACAGGAATTGAGAAACTCAGTTGGGCATTATTTACTTGAAAGTTTCCAAAGGAATTTGCTAGTAGAACCTCGTCTCAATATTTTAATTAAACTTTTTGTGTGGAGGAATTTTAGACTTATGGAAAAGTTATACAGATTGTACAAGGGGTTCCCATATTCTCTTGAACCAGTTTGTTTCCTCCAATCTTATCTCACACTACTATGGCACATTTGTCCAATATAAGAAACACACACTGGTGTGTTAATATTAACTAATCTCCAGACTTTATACCATCAGTTTTATGTTAATGTATTTTTTCTGTTTCAGGATCCAGTCTTGGACATTGCATTGAATTTAGTTGTCATGCATGATTTGTGACAGTTTTTCAGCCTTTCCTTATTTTTCATGGCCTTGTCAGTTTTGAGGAGTAATGGTCAGGTATTTTTGTAGAATATTCTTCCAATTAGGTAAGCCTGATGTAATTTCTCATGATTACACTTGGGTTGTGGGTTTTTTTGGAGCAAGTTTTGAGCTTCTTATACCTTGGCACTGCTATCTGTAGACTGACATAGTAATACCTATCTCATACACACAGACACAAACTCACAGTTACACTACTTGGTTCATAGTAGGAACTCTTTTTTTTTTTTTTACAGCTGGGGCATGGTGGATCTCCTGTGCCTGGATGAGGACATAAAAGACCCAGCCTGCAAGCCAATGCTTTATTTTATAGTCTGATTAAAACAAGAGTAGATTAACATGCATACAAATGTTCTTGTTTTGTTTTTTTGTGTTTTTTTTTAAATTAAATCTTTATTGTTAAGATTATTACAGTTGTTCCTCTTTTTTCCCCCATAACTCCCTTCCTTCCAGTTCCCACCCCACCCCCCGCCCTCACTCCCCACCCACTGTCCTCATCCATAGGTGCACGATTTTTGTCCAGTCTCTTCCCGCATCTCCCACTCCCCTTTCCGCCCCAAGAATAGTCAGTCCATTCCCTTTCTATGTCCCCTTGCAGTCTTTTCTTCCTTTTGTTTCCACCTGTTTCATTTCCAATGCTTCTCCATCTTCTCCGAGGTCGGCTGGACTCTGGTCCCCAGGATTCATGTAGGATTTCTCTATGATGACCAAGGCCTCTTTTATGTAGTTCTGCATCGCAGACACGGCGGCACAGATGGCCTGGCTGCCAAACTGGTGGGTAATCAGGCTGAAGTGAGACAGGCAGTCCTGAATGTTCTCCTCTAAGACCGGGGCCAGCCTGTCCCTGTTGGGTGTTCGGTCTTGGTGGAGAAGGTCTGTGAATTCTTGACACACTTGCTGTGCGGCCAGCAGCATGTTCTTCCTCGTTGCCATCTCATTCCGTCCTCCGAGATGAGGTCCAGTTAAGTACTCGGCCACCCGCTTACTAGGAAACTCGGCTTCACAGACATACCCAAAGTCCCGAGCCAAATGAACGGCCTCCCCTTCTACTAAGGACGTCAGAAGGGTGACGTGTGCAGCCTTCTGTCTGCCGGCTGGAAGGTTCAGTCCAATCTTGTACAGCTTCTCCCGCAAGGACTGGCCTCCACTTTTAGACTTGGCTCTTCTGAGAATACCTCCCAGTAATGAGGCATTTAAGTACTCAGGCAGGGACAATCGCCTCTGGACTTCGGCAACTGTCACTATGTATTTCGACGTGGAGCCCAGGAGGGACAATCTTCCGGGGACGGAGCAGAAGACCTCACTGGGGTTCATCACAGCCCCCACCAGCTCCTTCTGACAGGGGAGACTCAAGGCATTCTTGGTCATTGAAATGGGACCTTTGCGAATCCCAGTCTGATCATGCAGAAGCCGGTGCTGCTCATCCACCCTCTGCACCTCGTCCATCGGGTCCCCCATGTCATGAAGGCCCAGGTTCTCCGCCCGTCCCGCTGCGTCCAGGGCGTGCGTGTGGGGCAGCAGCAGGTCCGAGCGGCGGAAGCCATCCCTGCGGGCGCTCAAGCCAGCAGCCTCCTGGCTCTGGCGGCCGGGCCAGGCCTGTGGCTGACTGCCAGCGGGCGCCGGCTGGTGCAGGGGGTTGAGGGCAGCGTTCGCTTCTCCCAGATGCGAGTAGGGATCTGCCCACTGGGAATAAGTCAGTGGCTGGTAGGGAGGTGGAAAGTAGGGTGGTGGCGGGTATTGGGGGACTCCAGTATGAGAGAGGGGCGACACGGGGCTATAGAGATGTTGCCTGGCTGAGGAGAGGTGAGGGAGAGGCGGGTTCCTATTGCTGCTCCTGTCCTGGTGATCCTGGGGCGGCGCACCCTGGAAGCCTGGCAGCTGCGAACCTCCGGGCTCTCCGCCGCCCGAGGCTCTCTCCAAGCTCCAGGCCCCAGAGGAAGGCTGCATGCAGCGCTCTTGGTGCTGGGTGCTCTCACTCACCGGGTCGCACATGTTCGCTTCGCCTGTTCCGACACCAGATGTTGGGGTCCAGCCCCAGCAGGTCCAGGGGTTCCCAAAGGTATGGACGGAGTCCCACGAAGAAGGAATGATACGGAGACAGAGTTATCTGATGTTTATTGTCTTGTTACATCTGTATTTATACCAGTTGATTTTAATCCTGTCAATTTCTATTGCAAAGGTTAGGGCGTTTCTTATCTCCATTCCAGGGAGTAAAGATTATGTAGCTTAAGCGTGATTGTTTGTAGTTAAAGTGATTAACTACCCGCCTGGCACTTAGTTAAGGGGTTGTATCCCCTCCCTAACCTCAGGGAAAATCCCCCACCTGGGAAAACAACCTTTCTCGGAGAGGTGACCTTGGTTAAAACACATGGCGCTAAGGAGAGCAAACATATTAAGAACAATATGCTATATATGCCAGGTCCCTTGAAACATATGCTGTGCAGATGTTTCTTTCCTGCAGCGACTGTGTCAAGCAGCAAGGATGGACCGGCTTCCGGCAATGCTCAAGGAAGAATTACTGATTCATGAAAAGAAAGCCAGTTTGCCCACAATATAGGCAAAAAAGAATTCTTTGTGGAATTATTGGTTCATTTAATTGCTTAGTCTTTCATTCATTCTTTCACTCCTACCACATGTCAGGCATTATCTTAGGGACTGGAGACAAGACAGGACTTATGGGTGCTATGCTTAGATGGGAGCCCTGTGCTTGGGGTTCAAAGTTCTGTGGTTGCCATTTTTAGATTATTAAAATTTAATTGTTGGATTTGTGTTTTGTAAGTGAAGTCCATTTGGACAGTGGGGTACATGATGGAGGCTCAGAGAATCGTCTGTGTCTCTCTGCTCCCCTGGAATGAATTCTCAACTATCCACTCCTTGTATCCTGCAACCCTATAAGGGGCCTGGGTACAAACACAGGGAGAGTCAGGGTTGGGTGTGCATGACCTGCATGCCAAGTCATGGGCCCTGGGTACCTGTGAGGATCTGTACTTGCCCCATAGTTGGAACAAAATTTTAAGTAGCAAGTAAAAAACTGTAGTAGATGAAAAGAGAGAAAGGCCTTAGAAGAAAAGAAAAACGAAACAAAACAAAACTTTCCCCTTGCTTTTGAACAGGAGCCCATGTTTTTATTTGTATTAGACCCTGCAAATTGTGGAGCTGGCCCTGACTGGGAGTCAGCCCGTGGGTCCAAATCTGGCAGAAGAGGCAACAAACAATGGACAACAAGCAAGATGACTTGAGAGAGTCATAAGGACTATGAAGAAGTTAAACTGAGACGATGTTCTGGCGAGTGTGGTGCAGGGTGCAGATTACCATAAAGAAGATCATTAGGGATCCCTCTCTGACCGGTGACATTTGAGCTGCCATCTGGAGGAGAGGAAAGGATTAGGCCACAAGGAATATGAGACAGTTTCCAGTCAGAGGAAAATGCTAGGCTAAAATCTTTGGGGTTGGAACAAGCTTGGCAGGATCAAGGGCTAGACAAGAAGCCTGAGCAGAAGGAACCGAATGACCATGAGGAGAGGAGATGTGGGTGAGTTTACTGACGTAGGACTCAGCTGCGTTCTTTCGGGCCTGGCTGGCCAGGGCCAGGAGACAGGTTGCATCTGAGCCTGCCCAGGTCTGAAGGCTGCATTTCTCACCTGGATTCATGAAGGAGGGATTTTATTGCAGTGGGCTATCCCTGTAGTTTCCAACCGTAATTTAATTCCTTCTTCTGGATCAACATAGCCATTTTAGATTCTTGAAAATGGAGATGTTTTGCACAAAGACATGTCACTTAGGGAGGACATAAATAATCACGTGTGGGCCAAGGATCGGAAGTCCTGGAGAAAGCTTTACAAATCGGATTTTATTTTCCTCCCCATCAGGTCCCAAGAATTGTCAGATTTGTTCCGAAGATCACAAACTGTCACCTCATACCTCAAATCTGGGACCCAGACATGTTTTATGTGCTCTGCAAGTTTCTCTGAACCCAACTGGAGAGCCCCTGCCAGGGCTCTGTGGTCCCCAGACAGCTCTGTCCTCGTGTCTCCTGACGTGTCCTGCTTGCTCCTCTGCCCCTCATGCCTGGACCCATCTTCTGGATGGTTTCCATTATAAAGTGATGCTCTGGAGTAGCATGAGGTATAGCAATGTGGCATGTAGCTGACCCATGGAGCCCAATACGCAGCAGAATTCAATCCTTGAGATGTTTCCTCTCATCCTGTTTCCCAGCCTTTTCCTCTCACTGATCTTGGGAGGCAGAAGCAGGCAAAGGCAGGAAGAGAGCCAAGAATCCTAGTTCCTGAGCCCCTGGGCCCACCTGTCTGCTGGCCCCACTGCGTGGGCTCCATGTGCAGGATATTCCTGGGGGCCCCCTTAGGCCAGTGATGCATTCCTTGTGCCCTGCCTGATGGCTGCTCCTTTAAGGATTTGGGTTTGGGCTGGGAAGGAAATTAAGTAATTTTATTATTTTTCCTCGATAATGCTAAAATGATTAATCTTCAAAGATAAGTACTGTTTAGTGCATAAGGAGTTAGACTTGTTGATAATTATAATTTTGAAGAGTTTGAGTTTGCTGTCAGCCAAGTAATTAAAGGGGTGGGGCCAGGGTTCTATTTTGTTCAAGACAGTTGTGTTTCTGCTAAGAACTCTTCTCTGTGGGGCAAAAATGCCCTCATTCTAGGCCCATGCTGCCGTGAAAGGGTTAGTTCAAGCAAGTAAAATAGCCCACTAGCCTGCAAAGAGTTCTCTTTTGCTAATTCTGCCCCTGGCCTTTAAATTCCCTCCCCGCCCTCTGCAGGCCCCTCCCTCAGTTCTCCCATTGTTTTTGAGAATCCTCTCCAGAGTTCTGGTCACTCCCCAAGAAGGAGGCTCCTTCCCTCAGTTCTCCCATTGTTTTTGAGAATCCTCTCCATTGAGTGACTAATGCCCAGAGTTCTGGTCACTCCGCAAGAAGGAGGCTCCACTCCTCTCCCTCCTCTCAACAGCCCCCTTCACCCATTTGCCCAGGAGCCACCATTTTCCGAAACTTCTTGCATATACTACAAAAAATGAATGAAAAGAAAGAGGAAGAGAAAATGGAAAACTAATGATTCAAGAAATCACATAGCACGAGATAATTCTATTTTGAAATCACAGCAGTGGCACCCAGAGGCGGACGCTCCCCAAATTACTAGTGAAAACCCTTTGATGTATCCAGTGGTAAGAAAGCCCAGGGCACTTTTTTATTATTATTATGAGTGCCTCACATTCCCCAAAAGAAGCATTTAGCAGCTGTTTTTAAATGTCTGTATGTGAGCAAGCGATAAAGAAAATAAAACCCCCAAACCCCTCAAATCCTAAATGTGTTTATTTGATTGCTGGCTTTTACTTAGAATAAAAAGCAAGTGCTTATAATGGCGTGTGAGGCCCTCTGAGACCTGTCCGACCTCATCTGCCAAGGCCTCCCTGTGCTCCCTATGCCCTGGTCACACACACTGCCTTCCTCGTGGTTCAGGAGACAGAAGACGCTGGGGAACAGGGACCCTGCGCAGCCCCTGCCGGTGCCCCATCCCCTGCCTGGATCTCTTCTCTGGTTATCTGAGTGGCTCATGCCTCCCTTTCTTCAGGTGATTCCTCTCAAGTCTCCTGCTCATCCAGGCCTTCCCTTGCCATGCCATATAAAACCAAAGTTTCGTCCAGCCAGTGTGGCTCGGTGGTTGAGCATCAAACTATGAACCAGGAGGTCACGGTTCGATGGTTCGATTCCAGATCAAGGCACGTGCCTGGGTTGTGGGCTCAATCCCCAGTAGGGGATGTGCAGGAGGCAGCTGATCAGTGATTCTCATCATTGATATTTGTATCTCTCCCTCTCCCTTCCTCTCTGAAATACTAGTACACACACATATGGGAGTCAGTCCATGCCTCAAAAAGTTCATATGCTAATTGGAAGGAATGAATGCAGGGCTGCGGACCAAGTGCAGGATAGAGATGTGGCAGGAATAGGGTTCACAGGAAAGGGAGTGTGCCGCTTGGCCTGGGCTCAGCCATGGAGAGTGGAGGAGGACAGGAAAATATGCTTGGAGTGGCTGGCATGTCCTAAGAATAATTATTTGCCAGGTGCTTAAGGTGTTAAAAACTAAGTCCTATCCTAGTTTCATTTACTTTAAATTTTTTTTTAAATGTGATTTTTCAATTACAGTTGACATTTAATATTATTTTTTTATTAGTTCAGGTGTGTAGCATAGTGGTTAAACCATTATATAATTTACAAAGTGGTCCCCTCAATATTAAGGAACATAAAAATTACTGTTTCTACATTTATTCTTTCATTCAGTCAACATTTCAGAGCTATGGATAGTCAAAGGAGTTGGACACACTCCCTCTACTCATGGGGAACTTGGCAGAATAATGAATGGGCTAGAAGAGGGGTGGGCCAGGTTCTATCCAATGCAAGAATAATGGGTTCTTAAACTGGACTGGAGGGCCAGAACAAAAGCATGGATGTAGTGTTTGTGTGAACTAATATAAATTCAAAGTAAACATCATTACATAAAAGGGTACAGTCTTTTTTTTTTTTTAGTTTTATTCATTTCAAATGGGCCGGATCCGGCCAGTGGGCCGTAGTTTGCCCACGGCTGGGCTAGAAGTTATTAGGTCCAGGTTCTATCCAATGCAAGAGTAATGCCTAAGTCCTCCTTAACCTTGAGATTTGGCTAATGAAAACAACTCACCTTATCTCGTTATCTTATTCAACTCATAACAACCCTGTAAAATGTATTTTTTTATCATTCTCATTTTTGTAGATGAGTAAAAAGAGACAGAAGAGAGATTAAGAGATATGTGCAAGATCTCACAGCTAGAAGGTGGCCAGTCAAAGCCATCTGTCTTTAAATCCTGTCCCCTCAATATTAAGGAACATAAAAATTACTATTTCTACATTTATTCTTTCATTCAGTCAACATTTCAGAGCTATGGATAGTCAAAGGAGTTGGACACACTCCCTCTACTCACGGGGAACTTGGCAGAAT